TCATACCGTAACATAGGTTTACGACAGTCCACAAAGCGACCTTATAGTGACAAGGTGATGGTAACTCTCATACCGTAACATAGGCTTACGACAGTCCACAAAGCGATCTAATAGTGCCAAGGTGATGGTAACTCTCATACCGTAACATAGGCTTACGACAGTCCACAAAGCGATCTAGTAGTACCAAGGTGATCGCAACCCTCATACCGTAACATAGGTTTACGACAGTCCACAAAGCGACCTTATAGTGACAAGGTGATGGTAACTCTCATACCGTAACATAGGCTTACGACAGTCCACAAAGCGATCTAATAGTGCCAAGGTGATGGTAACTCTCATACCGTAACATAGGCTTACGACAGTCCACAAAGCGATCTAGTAGTACCAAGGTGATCGCAACCCTCATACCGTAACATAGGTTTACGACAGTCCACAAAGCGACCTTATAGTGACAAGGTGATGCTAACTCTCATACCGTAACATAGGCTTACGACAGTCCACAAAGCGATCTAATAGTGCCAAGGTGATGGTAACTCTCATACCGTAACATAGGTTTACGACAGTCCACAAAGCGATCTAATAGTGCCAAGGTGATGGTAACTCTCATTCCGTAACATAGGCTTACGACAGTCCACAAAGCTATCTAATAGTGCCAAGGTGATGATAACTCTCATACCGTAACATAGGCTTACGACAGTCCACAAAGCGATCTAGTAGTACCAAGGTGATGGTAACTCTCATACCGTAACATAGGCTTACGACAGTCCACAAAGCAAAGCGACCTTCTGGTGACAGGGTGATGGTAACTCTCATACCGTAACATAGGCTTACGACAGTCCACAAAGCGATCTAATAGTGCCAAGGTGATGGTAACTCTCATATCGTAACATAGGCTTACGACAGTCCACAAAGCGATCTAGTAGTACCAAGGTGATCGCAACCCTCATACCGTAACATAGGTTTACGACAGTCCACAAAGCGACCTTATAGTGACAGGGTGATGGTAACTCTCATACCGTAACATAGGTTTACGACAGTCCACAAAGCGATCTAATAGTGCCAAGGTGATGGTAACTCTCATACCGTAACATAGGCTTACGACAGTCCACAAAGCGATCTAATAGTGCCAAGGTGATGGTAACTCTCATATCGTAACATAGGCTTACGACAGTCCACAAAGCGATCTAGTAGTACCAAGGTGATCGCAACCCTCATACCGTAACATAGGTTTACGACAGTCCACAAAGCGACCTTATAGTGACAAGGTGATGGTAACTCTCATACCGTAACATAGGTTTACGACAGTCCACAAAGCGATCTAATAGTGCCAAGGTGATGGTAACTCTCATATCGTAACATAGGCTTACGACAGTCCACAAAGCGACCTTATAGTGACAAGGTGATGGTAACTCTCATACCGTAACATAGGCTTACGACAGTCCACAAAGCTATCTAATAGTGCCAAGGTGATGGTAACTCTCATACCGTAACATAGGTTTACGACAGTCCACAAAGCGATCTAATAGTGCCAAGGTGATGGTAACTCTCATATCGTAACATAGGCTTACGACAGTCCACAAAGCTATCTAATAGTGCCAAGGTGGCTATGACAGCCCTTTACAGTTAGTATGATGTTTAGTCTAATATTATTCCGTAATTTGCAAAACCAACAGTTGGACTAAGCTCCTTTGAACGCCGTTTACCGATTCAAATCAAGAACAAAATGCTACAACATGTTTTATTAAACCAAGGTTCATAAACTGACAGAACCTTGGATTCGAAGCCACAATCAGTAGATCCTGACATGTGTAAGGGACACAACCCTGTACAGTGGCATTGGTGATAAAACAAACAAACATAAGCATTACAGGCATAGTGGAGTTTCAGCAGGTCATACACTTTAGTAAAGCAGGTTCCCATCGGGTTGAGGGGTGGGGTAGCCTAGCTAGTAGTTAAAGCGTTGGCTTGTCACGCTAGAGACCAGGATTCAGTCCATCACATGCGTTAAGCCAATTTGTTGTGTCACTCGCCGTAATGTGACTGGGAAGTATCATTAAAAGCGACTGTACTGAGTCATGAATGCATCCTTCCTTATTTACAAATAAACTACTGTCAGACGCAGTTTCATCCGGGCGCCATCTCGTGACCTAAAGGGCTAGCCTACTACCGGGTCAAGGATGAAGCTATTGACTGACCTACTGAGAAGCTTAGGTATGATGTCAGTGTATGTAACCTATATAGACACTGAACAATCATTCTATCTCCGGTTCCGTAATTGGATACTGAAAAATGTGAAAAGCTGCTTTCTCCTTATTTCATTTGTGGACGAGATAGGTGAGGTGAAATGGGGTTTAACGTCGCGTCCAAGATTATTGCACTTATATAGCGACGTGCATGTACGTGTGTGTGTTTGTGTGGCTGCTTGTACTAGTCCGGACTGATGCCGATTTAAAGTGCTAGCTCACTGAGATACCATGCCGCAGTTTAACATGAATACTCCACTCAGACAAAGTATACTGACTCCGAGCCGACCAGTCCTTGTTTTAGTCCCTTAATGCCGAACCCCTAGACAGGGTAACAACAAGTACCATCTTTTAACGTCTTTTGGTTGGACGAGATAGAAATATGTTATTTCTCCAAGTTGTGTGTTTCTCGGTTTCCTTTTTTCCGAAAAATGTAACATATAACAGTTATTTGATCAAGAAAATGTCATTCTTTAAATCCAGTTGCCACCCCCAGTCAAACTCGCGTACGATGTCCTCTAAACTGACTCCACTTAACACAGCTCATAAAGATAAGTCTGGGTGAGTTATGGGGCGATTAGCGACTGTGTGGAGTGTAACACTTTTAATAGGCTTAGTTATAAATGTTTGCAGGTGGTTGTTTTTAACGGCAGAGGAAAGGTCAAACGCAGGGAGAACCCGTATGGGCCCGATCATGTAAATATTTTCGTTTCTCGTTCCGGTGGAAAGATTTAATTTTATACATAATTTAATATGTAATAAAGATAGCATTTAAAGTATTTTCAGTCACTTGGTAAACATTTTCTTTTGTCGAAAATCATAAAAAAATAGTTTCGATCGCTAACATTTATGTTTTGTTACTAATTGTAAACGACCTGTGAAGATCCGGGGTAGAATAGGTCTTCAGCAACCCATGCTTGCCGTGATAGGCGACTATACTTTTCGTAAGAGGCGACTAACGGGATCGGGTGGTCAGGCTCGCCGACTTGGTTGATGCATGTCATCGTATACCTATTGTGGATCGATGCTTATGATGTCAATTACCGGATTGCCTGGTCCAGACTCGATTATTTTTCAGACCACCGTCATATAGCTGGAATATTGCTGAGTGCGGCGTGAAACAACAAACAAACAAAGTAATTGTAAACACAATATGTTTGTTAGTGACCGGGTTTCCTTGAGATGCTTGAACCGGGAAGCGAGGGGGAATTGGCGCAAACAACTTTGATGTAAATCCACAAGAACTTGTAACATTAACTTTAAACAGTACATCGAGTGTTTGGACGCTGTAAGGAGCTTACGCACACACCGAGTCATGTTTATGCCTTCTGGGCATATCTTATGCACGTGAGGAATTTTTGGTTTTTAGATTATACGATATATCAAAACTTAGCTTGAAGGTCCTAATGAAAAAAATACGGAGAGCAAAAGATGTTATTTTCAAATATTTTACTTTTTGAGAATTAAGAAGTTGTGTTGAATATTTTCCGCACTGCTTGTGTGTCCTCCCGATCCAGGATGATGGATGATAATTATGTAATAGCTTTGTCCCATTTATGACACTGAGGTTGTTTAGAGGAATTGAGGACAGGAAAGAGTGTAATTTGGTCACAATATCTTATGCAGTATGTCCAGGAAAGTACATAGCTATTTTAAAGCAACTGTACACATCGTTTTTGTCTTGTAGCGTCATGTTCGTTGAAAGTGGGCGCCGCGTCGATCCCGTAGTGAATATCGACCCGTGAAGATTCCGGGGTAGAATAGGTCTTCAAAAACCCATGCTTGCAGTAAAAGGCGACTATGCTTGTCGTAAAAGGAGACTAACGGGATCGGGTGGTCAGGCTCGCTGACTTGGTTGATGCATGTCATCGATCCTAACTGCGTGGATCGATGCTCATGATGTCAATCACTGGATTGTCTGGTCCAGACTCGATTATTTACAGACCGCCGTCATATAGCTGGAATATTGCTGAATGCGGCGTAAAACAACAAACCAACTGAATATACCTGTAGAGAGGACGCTGTTTCTGGGCCCATATCGACATAGACTGATGGCAGGTGCGGTGCTCATTTTGTGTCCATATCTTCGTGTTGCAGTGGGGAGGTTGGCTAATACCAACCGTATTATTGCTGTATATGTGGCGTTAAAAAATTATCAACATTGTAGAAAAAACATTGTATACATTCCCTGGTCCGGACAGCCGTTAATCCGAAGATTACGGATACGCAAGGTTCTACAGTGAACATAAACACCATACTATAGACTTCTCTTCGTGTTTTTATTCTGGGGTCATAAAATAGGGTTTAGATACAATAATCCTCGTTGATATCACAGGACACTATGGAATAGCCCCATAAGCTCCTACTCCAGGCGGAGACACCAAGATGGAGCCTTGTCCACCCGTCCGTCCGTCGACACCGGAAGCTGACTGGACGGTCTGACATACACACTGAACTAGGTAGCACTAACACTGGTCATCGTTGGTTTCTTGACCTTTCACAGTGGCCGGCTAGTGTCCACCCGTGTTGGGAAGGCCAAAGACTTGCATAGCCAGTTACAATGAACTAATCACGTGGAGAGAAAACGAGTGGTTGGGAGAAGGTAGGTATCCCTAACTGTAGATTCAGATGTTTTGGCTTCCATGGTGATTTCCGAGCTGTGGGCACAAATAACTTAAAACACACGTGGAATTATTTACAAGTTCGCTGCACAATACTGCCTTGAGTGGACGACTGGGTGAGAGTTTTTGTAGTTTACTTCTTTGCGGCGGCAAGTTCTTTTTCCTTGGCAAGACATGCCTCGACGCCAACGCGCATCTCCTCCACAGCCTGGTACTCGGTAAGGCCCAGCCGACGTTTGTTGGACAGATCGTACACGCCACCGACACTCTCGGTGTGCTCGCCATGGATACCTGGAGAAGAGAAATGGTGTTGTGGCTGATGTTTATTCTTGTGTCTTATTATCGAAAAAAGATTAATAATAATATATATTATCGGGGGTTAGTCTTCTAAACATTGATTTCCCGTCCTAAACATGTCTATTTCGTTGTTCCATTCATTTTAAGAGAATGTGCCTTCATTTTATTATTGACACCACTGTGGCCTGTGGTGGTTGTTGTCTAATATGTTTGTTTGTTGTTTAACGCCACACTCAGCAATATTCCAGCTATATATGACGGTGGTGTGTAAATAATCAAGTATGGACCAGATAATCCAGTGATGACATCATAAGCCTCGATCTATGCAATTGGGATACGATGACATACATCAACCAAGGCAGCGAGCCTTACCACCCGATCCCGTTAGTCGCCTCTCACGATAAGCATAGTCGCTTTTTACAGCAAGCATGTGTTGCTGAAGACCTATTCTACCCTGCATCTTCACGGGTCGTCTTATATGTAAATGTACTTGGTCCATAACATAAAAGGTAAATACATTTCTAAATCTTCTCATTTGTGAGGCTCGGGAGAAGGAGAGGTTATGAAAACGGGGTAATCAGTTCGAGAGATAAATTCTGCCAACAAAAAAAACCCAGTCTTTCAATCTTAGAATTCAATTAAACTTTACCGAGTGATCGAACTATTTTTATCCTTTATTAAAAATCGAATTACAAATAATCCTTTAATTGTGACGAGAGTTAAAGGAGGATTTACCTCTAGCTTGGATGTTAAGGTTATCACAGAATGACTTGAACTCAGGCGAGGCGGCCAGATTGGGGATCTTCATGTGCACGGAGGCACGGAGAGCTGTGCCCAAGTTGCTGGGGCAGAATGTCAGGTAGCCGAGACCGTCACGTTTTGCGAATGAGAGACCACTGGCTGTCATGGTGTTGATAGCCTGCAAAGAAAATCAGGAAAATTGTAAAACAGGACCAGAGCTTAAAACGTATCTTGCTCATGCAAAGCCGGTTCGTTTTCCTTAAATAGTTACATGTTATAGCCAAATACTTCTGGCATAACGGGGAGCACGGGTGGCCCAGTCGTCTAAGGCGCCGCGATTCGCTGTGCAGAGTTGCGTCCCTTGGGCACGCCAGAAACCTATGATTGTGGGTTCGAATCCCGGTTTGCCCCGATTATGTTTCTAGGTTTGTCAGCACCATACCCGTGCTCGTGGGTTTCACCTAAGTGGTAAATGTCTGAGACCTGCGTACTTTCCTCCCCCATTAAGCTGACACGCCGCGATATAACTGGAATATCCACAGATCGCGCGTAATCTTTGAAGAAGAGTTGAATTTTGACCTACCACGACGAGTCGCCTGTAGACTGCGGCCAAGTCGCCACCCTTCTGCATGGAGATGAGACGGAGATGGTCCTCCTCGTTTACCCACACAAGGAAGTTCTTGGCGGTGTTGAAGAAGATGCCCCTGCCGGAGCACCAGTCGTTGTAGCCGCCGGCGTCTCTCAAGAATCTAGAATAGTTAATATACAATAACATTAATAGGTATGAGATGCGCAAAGTACGTCAAACGGGTGTTCTTCATATATCAACAATCAAAGCTCCCATAGAAAGACAAATCCTTTCTCCACCTTTATATCAGTCCATCTATCTTATACAAAGGGCCGATGTCCAAAATTTTAACATGTATCTGTTCTATAAAATCGGTGTCCATGGCACGAGTACGTTTAGCTTTAAGTCGCTTTAAATATTCTTTGCCAGGAATGACAATTGTAGCAAGAATCGAAACTAGGTAACGAGCTGACACTTATGTTCCCCTCGACCACCCCTTGCATTGTTAGGAACGGGTGCATAACTACACACCAATAGGCTCAGTGCTTTTCAGAGCTAAACACAGGAGGGGTATCCATTGTTACCGGAAGCAAGGATCAGGAATGGAGTACACACCCAAACCACACAACCGCCGCACATCGAGAGGCATCTCCCTCTTTCCACCAGGGCTTCTGTAAGGGAGAGGGGTATTTACAATGGACCTATTCCTGTAAACAGGTGTACCCACCTGTCGTCATCCTTGAAGAGAAAGTGGTCCTCGGTCATCTGTTTCTGGTCCTCCTTGGACATGCCCTCCAGAGGGAAGTACTTTCCGGCCAGCTCGCCAGAGAACTTCTCGAAGGCGGCCTTGGTGTCCTCCTCCATCTTCAGACGCTCCTGGGGTGCAAAAGTTTATCATTCAGTACCCACAGTTTGACACAGACAATCCTTCAGTATCCACAGATAGACACAGACAATCCTTTAATACTCTAAACTTCGACATGGGCAATCCTTCAATACCGACATATAGACACAGACAATCCTTCAATACTCTGCACTTAAACATACTCAATCCTTCAATACCCACAGACAATCCTTCAGTACCAACAGTTAGACACAGACACTGTAGCATTAGTGTGGGTGACTGAGTTTTGTTTAACACTGTTTTCACCAGTATTCAAGTTGTATTACGTTCCGGGGTTTTGTTGTACATCTAGCATCCAACGATTAATGAGTGTGGGTAACATCTGATGACAATTCTCAGGCACCCCATCCTCCTAAAATATCTAAAAATAACGTTGCCCCCTAACTTCATACCTGCTTGGTGAGGACGGGTGGGAAGCCGTAGCTGTCATGGCTCCTGCCGACACGGACGCGGGTGGAAACGATGTATTCGCCAGATGGGTCAAGGTCTCCGAAGTTCAACTTGTCAAGGTCACCCATTTCTGGCTCTGGGTGCTTAAGCTCGGGAACCTTATGATATTCCTTAATCACAGCATCGAGGACGCCGGCGAAGACGGTGTAGGCGTCGGGGTCGCAGGCGTAGATGCCGACACCGCTGTCGAGGTTCATACAGCCTGAAGAATTAATCATCAAGTTTTGAAAGAATCACAAACACATGAATTACAGAATAAAATGAAATTATATATATGATGTTATATTTACGAGAGGATGTGTAATCGCAGCTTCCGAATATGTGACCATGCTGATTGTGTGGCGTAACGCGGCACGGGCATAATCAAACTAAGCGTCTCTCAATCTTGTATTGGTTTATTGCCATGTTAACTTAAGTATTAACCTCTTTATCGTGTTTCTGGAAAATAAGGCCACTATTATAATAGAATTCGAAGTCATGGTTTACACTTTTATTCATAAGTAGCTTTTCATCTTGTATTACTCAAATTATGCCTTTTTAATGCGTCGTGCTATCGTCGTTGTATGTTCATTCATGTCATCCTGTATTTGTGTCTGTATTTATGGGGGCGGTCGGATAGCCTTGTGGTTAAAGCGTTAGCTCGTCACGCCGAAGACCCGGGTTCGATTCCCGACATGGGTACAATCTGTGAAGCCCATATCTGGTGTCCCCCGCCGCGATATTGCTGGAATATTGCTAAAAGCGGCGTAAAACCATACTCCCTCACTCACTGTATTTATGATACATGTATCTATGAGCTTTTCTTAAATATAAACCAAATTCCCAAATCGGGTAATACGGTATTATCTTATCTTATCTTATATGCAAAAGGATGTTCTGACCCGATTATGTCGAGATAGTCGTGAAATAGCTGAACATTTACTGTGACGTGAGGCAACAATCTACCCATAGTCTTGCTAATGAATCATTCATGTACCTATGCTTTTCCTAAAGCTAACACGAGGATCGGACTGTTGTTATTCTGTGTATATCATCTTACCACGATAATATGGATCGTTGTTCATGATATCAACCCTTGTTACTGGCCCCGCTTAAAGAGCATGGATGTTGCCAAATGCGTCGTCAAACAACATTCGCTCAATCACTCACAAGCAGAAACTAGACTGATCATCTGTATCATTAAATCCGATCATTTGCAACTTTTATATTCCTTCTGAATTAAATTGTTGAATACTACTATTGTCGCTGGTTTAGACCCGTGAAGATCCGGGGTAGAATAGGTCTTCAGCAACCCATGCTTGCCGTAAAAGGCGACTATGCTTGTCGTAAGAGGCGACTAACGGGATCGGGTGATCAGGATCGCTGATTCGGTTGATGCATATCATTGTATCCCAATTGCGAAGATCGATGCTCGTGATAACAATCACTGGATTATCTGGTCAAGACATATAGCTGGAATTTTGCAGAGTGCGGCGTTAAAAAAACAAACTAATCAATATGATTTACTCGAGGTAGACAGTGACCCTCACTTAAGCCAATAAGCCCTCAAGGTCATGGTAATGATGGACGTACACTGAGGTGTTTTCCAGGTGAGCTTCAGTCTTATTATTTTAAGAGTATACATAAAACATTACAGAGACATGAGCTCGATAGGACTTATAAGATAATTGACGCCTCTCAATTGTACCGAGCTATTTATTCGTAGGGATTAACGTACTTCAGCGGGAATGTCATAAGTCCAGTTAAAACATAGGTCATGCTGTGCATTAGTCGGTCTACTAGACCCTACAAAATTAATTCAAAGGAATCCGACTCACGTATATAATGATTTGGCAAGTCTAGATTGCCTCAGCCCTGAAATTAAGCAATGTTTTAGGCTCCATTTGGATTTTATTTTCTATTTTTAGATACATATTTTAAAAAAAAGATTTCTTAACAAAATCTTAGTCTATCTGTGAATCAAAGCGAACCTGTCATGAATATTCTTAAGTACATGTGCACTAGTGGTATCTTGCATATCTGTACAAGTTACTTTGCTCATCACATGTCGAGTGACCTTCGGTCCATAACGAGGTTGGTTGTCATGCTACTAATTATAAACTTGTAGACATGGAATCCTATGTCAGCATTAATGATAAATGGCAATGCATGATGAGCACAGTACATGGATTCCGTAGAACGTACATGGATATCTGTAGTAATAGATATGGTGATCACTGTCGCGTCTACCAGCTGAGCATGAGTGAAAGCAAACTCGCCGGCAGCACAGCGTGGGTTGCTCTGTCTATATACGGGCATCGCTATGGATGCCGCCGAAAATAACACCGTGCTAACACCGGTGTGACAGCCGATGCCTCGTGCTACACGTGCAGAATGCTTGGCTGCAAACGTTGCAGAGAATATGGGTTCACAGAAGAATATTGATATTTCATATGGAAGAAATGTGGGATATCTCCCACTGGTTGCAAAGGGTTGGTGAAACTGTAGGGGTATGGATTATATAGAGATTATATATACTACTACTATCATATCACCTTGGAATTGTATGGAGCTGCATTAATAAAGGAGGGAGCAATGCTACTGGACGAAAGACGTATCAAAGACATGACATATGATTCCCAATTTACTAAACGCTACACAGATTTAAGGAGATTTCACCTTTTGGATGACCCCTGCAACTAAATCAAGTTTATCGACTACCAATCTAGCCAATTCCACACTGATACCACGCGACCTACCTATCCATTCGAAAAAAAAATCAATAATTAACATTATAACAGAATATTAAGTCTTTCACAAGTTTATAATTATACATTCAAATATATTCACACCAAGGTGTATTTTATTGCATGGGTTGGAATGCTAAGGATTCATTTCTATTTCAATTGAATTCAACCAACCTGATCGGATGCAGTCAGCGAGGGTACCTCCAAATTTCGTCTTTTTATCCTTGAGTGCTTCATAGCGTTCCTTAGTAAGATTGTTTTTCAGAAGGGATTTGCAGTCAGCAGCCCCATCGAGCTTTGCCCAGAGTTCTTCAACAGAAGCCATGGCGAGAGTTTGAGAGAGGTCGGTACGAAGCTAGTAAGTCCACAAGATCTCTGCCTAAACCCTCAGTCCCCTCTTCCTTATATACAGGTTGCCTGGTTACCGCACTACGTACGACGGAGGCTTCTGATTGGCTGAAGGAAACAAGCGGTGTACAAGTAATCGGCACTTATCGACTGTCGGTGTACTAATGCTGGTTATCCAACAACGGTGCCTTTGTGGATTATGTAATTAATCACATGTTCAGGTTGGACAACGTGTCAAACATGATTCGGTTATTTATTAAAATCTTGTTATCTAAATAAATGGATAAAGAAATGTATCATTCAGATAACTCTTAGCTGAAACCGGAAGTGCGCCCTTGCTCCGGAAGTGCTAGTATGCATGGGTTTGATTACGATGTCGATATAGCTGACATGTTAGATCGTACACCTTTCAAAAGTGCTGACTTTGGAGAGATGTAATTTAGAATTCATTTGTTAAACTGATATAGAATCGAGTACACGTGTGTATATGTTAACATATTGTAGCTCCGTTTAGAATACGCCTTTTATGTTCTAGTCTGTCTGACAGTCCCTGAACCTTATTATTTTCCCTTCCACCCAGCCCTTACTGTAATGCTGAAGATCTAAATGAAGCAAGTCTAGATTTCCACAGATTCAGGTTCTGAATCGCCAATCTCACATTGGCTCCTTTTCAATTTAAATGGAGTAGTTTATTTCTATCAAAATTACATATGACTGTATTGTGCTTATTAACGAAATGATGATTATGAGGATGTATGCATAATTTATGATTAGGGCCAATTTATTCCACAGAAATACCAGATGATAAATATGTAAAACATCTGTTGTTATGATATTATTATTACGAGAGTTTGTATCACTGAGACGTGCTGTATTTCTTTAAAGCTCTTGCTAGAACAGAAGTATGGTTAAAGCATGTTCTCCTTTCCTTCGCCAAATGTCTCGCTATGTGTGTTATACAACTTTATTTGTATGTTCAGTTGGATATCAATTATTTATTATGAATTTAGTTATGAAAGTCCCTATCAGTGTGAAAATTGGAAATATTTTACTCGAGTTAAATAACAGGATTATACATTCAAAATTACAAGTTATTATAAATATTATATCACGTAACTTGTTATTTCGTCTCATAAATAATAAAATATAACTTTGTATCTATCTACTTTGTGTATTTTGGCTGATTGGTATTCACAAATGTGTTTGTTTGTTGTTTAACGCCGCACGCCGCAATAGCCAGTTATAAGACGGCGGTCTATAAATAATCGAATCTGGACCAGACAATCCAGTGATGACATCATGACCATCGATCCACGCAATTGGGATACGGTGACATGTATCAACCAAGTCAGCGAGCCTCACCACCCGATCCGGATAGCCGCCTTTTACGAGAAACGTGTGTTGCTGTGTTCTTATTATAACCCTGATGTTGACGCAGCTATTTCACAATTCTAGTCGTCACACTGAATTGTTGTTCTAATATTATATAGTTGCAGATCATAACACACTGCTACCCGAACACAGGTACCTAAAAAATGTCACGTCCTTAGATTATGATGTTTTTGTTTAAAACAATTTTTTTTTGTCAATATTATCTTGAGAAAGATATATACTTTTAGTATACGTTAGACAACAAATTATATTTTTCACCTGAATCTTCCGGGATATAGTTATAATAAGCGACCAAACCCTTTCCATAATCATATGATGTTTGTTTGTTTGTTTGTTGTTTAACGCCGCACCCAGCAATATTCCAGCTACATACCGGCGGTCTGTAAATAATCAAATCTGGACAAGACATTCCAGTGATTACCACAATGAGAATCGATTTACGCAATTGGGATACGATGTCATGCATCAAGCAAATCAGCGATCCTGACCACCCGATCCCGTTAGTCGCCTCTTACGACAAGTATAGTCACCATTTACGGCAAGCATGGGTTGCTGAAGACCTATTCTACCCCGGATCTTCACAGGTACATAATCATATGAAATCTCTGCTCAAAAGGAGACCGTTGTACGATTCTGACCCTATCATGAAGCCAAGATTTCGGTATATGGCATCCCTCTCTCGTCAACGCTTCAACTTCAACAAGACTTAAATATGTTAAGGTTTTCGCATGATTATTAAAGGCCCATGTGAACATTTAACACATTTAACTGCAAGCGGTAATATGAAATGATTGATTATGTCCGCCTCTGTACCGCAGCTGGGAGTTGTACGTGACAGTCTGCCCGATCGTCACACTACACGGCTACAGCTTATCAATGTGGCGTGTGTCCTCAGCAAGGTGCGGCATGAGTCATTCAAGACAACACGTAACCCGGTTTTGGAACAAAGTATGGTGATGTCACTCTGCCCTTGTATGATGCAACACACAGAGAGAGGGAGAGAGACAGTCCATTGACATAGGGGCGAGACATATGTCTGTCTGTGGTAGGACGTGTGTGGAGGGGTTGGGGTTGGGGTTGGGGTTGGGGTTGGGGATTGCACAGGCGGGGGTTTGTATATAGTGTTCTGGGTTTGCGTGTGTGTATATTATATTATATTATATATATTATTAAATATATTATTATATATATAATTATATATAATTATAGTGTTCTGTGTAACCCATTTATCAGATTCATAGTTTTATTTATCATGGCAATGTGACCAGTTTAATTTAATGGTGATTTTTACAATATGTTGTGTAGTTTTATTTTACCCAACTTCCTGATTGATAATTTGATTATCGTGTATGTGAGGCCCGTTTAAATAAAATGCAAGTTAAAGCAGAAAATTGAGACAGAAATATGATCATTATGTACTGTTGTCATTGAAACGAGAATCGATAATATCACCATGTAAGTAAACATGTATACGTGCGATACGGCACTGTTCCTGTTTCATCAGTACTGAACGGCTGCATCACACAGGGGCCAATCGTCACCCCCCCCTAACCCATCCCAACCAACCCAACCCCCCCCCCCCCCCCCCCCCCCCCCCACATTCTTAAACAGCGGGACATGTTACACGGCCATCTGGACGTGATATCTTATCCATTATCACAAACACGATACACAACGAAGAAAACTACAACACATTAGTATTATGTCCTTCTTCGTAACTTTTCTATTTATGTCATATTGAGCAACGTATCACTGTGACATGAGAGCTCCAGTTATAAGGTGGATACCCAGCTAAGTGAAAATTGCATAAGTGAAGGTGATCCTAGCTCAGAGGGAGGTCATATTTCACCAAGATCAGTCACAGGGCACGGCGGGTGTCAGACTAATGTATTAACAATGCAGTCAATGGGAAAGTACTAAAAGCTAACCGGCGGAACGTGTAGGTCTGCAGGTGGTGAAGGAGTGAAAGGTCTGGTTGTGTGTGTGTGTGTGTGTCTGTCTGTCTGTCTGTACGTGTGTGTGTGTCTGTCTGTACGTACGTGTGTGTGTGTCCGTGTCTCTGTGTGTGTCTGTCTGTACGTGTGTGTGTGTCTGTGTCTCTCTGTCTGTACGTGTGTGTATGTGTCTGTCTGTACGTGTGTGTGTGTGTCCGTGTCTGTGTCTCTGTGTGTGTCTGTCTGTACGTGTGTGTGTATGTGTCTGTCTGTACGTGTGTGTGTGTGTCCGTGTCTGTGTCTCTGTGTGTGAATGTCTGTACGTGAACTTGTATGCGTACGTGCGTGTGTGTTTGTGTTACATAACCATGATAATTGTGTATCATTATTATTATAAGTATTATTAAAACTAGCAGATTGGATGTCTGGATGGAAATGTTTTGAAACACCCTTGAGTTGATTGAAACAACTACAGCTGACAATCTAATAACCAGTGCTTGATAAGTGTGAGTGTGTATATGTATGTGTGTATGTGTATGTATGTGTGTGTGTGTGTGCTTTTGTGTGTTTGTGTGGCTGTGTGAGTGTCTGTGGCTGTGTGTTCTCTGTGCGAATGTGGGAATGTGTGTGTGTGTGTGTGTGTCTGTGTGAGTGTTTGTGTCTATGTGAGTGAATGTGAGTGTATGTGTCTGCGTGAGTGTCTGTGTGTGTGTTCTCTGTGTGTGTCTGTGTCTGTCAGTGCATGTGTGTGTCTGTCTGTATCTATGTGAGTGTCTGTGTGTTGTCGTCAGGGGTGGGTCGGTGACAACCCAAATAATGCTGCGCAGGCATTGAGTGAGCGAGTGAGGGAGTATTTCTAGTCACATCGGCAATATTTCAGCCATATCGTGACTAATGCAGGCATTGAGGAAGCGCTCACCTGAAAATGAAACCACTTGATTATATTAACCATATGAAGGCTATGTCATGTAATACGACATTAAGCGGACAGTATTATGTTGAATGATGTAATTATGTTTAAATATCCGTTAGGGACATTATTTTATAGTGAAACTAACTTAGTTTTAGTGCTGTCTTACTTTAGTGCTCTCCTACAATGTCCACTTCAGGAAGGTCTACAACAACGGTTGGTTGTGTGTAATTGGCATTGTGCGTCATATACGACCTATTCTGCTGAATTTCATGTCGTTGCTTGAAGTAATCTTTTAAAACTCAAGGTTGTAATCTTCTGGGTTTTTTTAAAATTGGAGATTTGTTTTAAAATCTGGCACAGAATATTAACATTCACTCCACCGGTGACTCAACCTTTGCTATGTGGATTACCCATTATGCAGCTCTGACTCATGAGCTCCGTGGTGACCGGGGTTAGAATAGGTTCTTCTACTTTATTGCCGGTCGTAGGAGACGACTAGGGGGGATCTGCTGATCAGGCCCGTAACTTGGCTGACTATGCCAATGTGCCCCCATGTCGTGGGACGTAGTTAGTGTTTTAAATCTCTTTATATCTGGTCCAACCTCGATGTTTGACATGTCGCCGTGAGGTTGCCTGATTATTGTTGACTGCGGCATTAAACAACATTCACTCTCATAAGATTACAAGTAATTCCATGACAAAATAACATTGAATATATTAACAAAATACTTTTGGCAAATTTCTTCATGGGTTTGTTCTGTTTGTATCAATTATAGATCCCTTTGGTTTATCGGAGTGAGT